CATGGATTTGATTCTTTGGTCAAAAGAATTGCTGTTGAAGGAAAATCACGATCTGTTATAAAGTTTAATTAGAGGTCTTCAGGATCGAGAAACCTTGACCGAAAAATCAATTACAGATTCTGATTCTTCGACTCTGAAGACTTTTGGTTGAACTTTATAGAAAATCATAATTTTCCTCCAATAACTATTTTTGACGAAAGAGTGAAATCCAGAGGTGCGGGCATGGGTGTAATTTTTAGTTCTTTTTTAGCAAGAATGTTCATCAATTGCTATTTCATTCAATATGTTTTTCAAAAACAACAATAATAGATGAATAAAGAAGAGACATTTGCTATTATGGAATTATCATTTGAATACGCATTCACATTTAAGAGAGGGTCCACCAGAATACTAGGTAACATGGCTGGAGACAAAAATTTTTTTTTTGATTTAATTATCTTAAAATAAAGATCGCATTTAGTTAGTATGAAATCCAAAATATTAGGTTTTTCTGACCATCCTTTATTAAATTATAACGTGCGTCATGATAACAGGTCTCATAAAGCTAAAGCAAAAAAGTCATTTTTCGTACCTTTTAGTATATCATAGACTTGATACGTTATTTTGAGAATTACCTCAGTATTGACTCTTGCCAAAAGAAAGAGCTGTTTTTTTTCTATCGAGCCATATAATTTTTGACTTCATATAAGTACCATTTTGGGGGAAAAAAGGGTCAATACGATGATTTTTCGGTCATAAAAAGTGTGATTCCTTTCAAGTATTTTGAACTTCTTGACTCAAAAATGGGAGAGTGCCATAAATTTTATGATACCAGAAGATAGCCCGTCAAAAACTGCATCTTCTGATGTAAGAATATCTAAGAAAAACGATGGCCCGCTTATTCAACTTTTTTCAACAAAGGTTATAACTAAACAGTTTTTATGCTAAGGGTGGGGGCGGATATGCTAGCAAAACCCGCCTTATTTGAAAATTATAAGAAAACATCCACGAATTTTATATGGTTAGAAAGGTAATTAATTTTAATATTTAACTCTATAATATTTTTTGCCCAACTACTTTTTTTCCTAATAATACCACCATATATGTGTGAGGGTATATGAGCCTTAGTATGTAGAAAAACTTCAGGGTACAGTGTACTACAAAACCTACTAAAAGAACTACTGCTATATAACGTAGGATATCTTAAGTCTGGATTCGAGTATTTCTTGAAACGATTCGCTCCAAAACACTTTCCAAAGCAGTTCAACAACTTTCCAAGTAGAACTCGACGAGCTCTATCGAATGGACACATTTGCAGCTTGATAGGATGCTTCTTTCCCTCTCAAATGGTCATTTTTGGGTCCCGATTCCTTGATTTCTATCGAAAAACTTCTAAGGACTCGTCCAAGAGTACATTCCAAGTTTATGAACCCACTTTCCAAGTAGATCTCGACGAGCTCTATTTAATGGACACCTTTGGAGCTCAATTCAATGCTGGTTTGCCTCTATAATGGCCATTTCTGGGTCCCGATTCCTATATTTCTGTGGAAAAACCTATGAGGATTCGCCCAGGGGTACTTTCCAAGTATATCAACCAACTTTACAAGTAGATCTCGACGTGTTCTATCGAATGGACACCCTTGAAGCTTGATTCGATGCTTCCCTGACCTGAAAACGGCCATTTCTCCGCCCCTTTTACTAGATCTCTGCCGAAAAGCCTGTACGATTCGCTCAGAAGTAGTTTCCAAGCGTACCAACTAACTTTCCAAGTAGATCTTAAGAGTTAATTTTCTCATTAGACCTTTACCAATATCGAGCGAACACCGTATACAATTGAAAGAGTTCGTATGAGCCCTACTAGGAATCAGTGTAGGTTTTGTTGGAATCTGAGCCTGCACGAATCATGACAGGTTTTCCTGGAGAAAAGCCCTGTTTCTGGCATCGTTGGCCGAAGCCTAAGTGATGGGTGCATCGAATCTAGCTTCAGAGTTGCCTATTCGATAGAACTCGTCAAGATCTACTAGGATAGTTATATGGTATACTTGGAAAGTACTCCTGGGCGAATTCTCACAGGCAGGCATTTCCGCAGAAATCTAGGAATCGGGCCCAGGAATGGCTATTTTGAGGCAAAAGAAGCATCGAATCGAGCTCCAAAGGTGTCCATTCGATAGAGTTCGTCCAGATGTACTTGGAAAGTTTGTTGATACACTTGGAAAGTACTCTTGGACGGATGCTCATAGGTTTTTTGATAGAAATCTAGGAATCGCGACGTAGAAATGGCCATTTTAGACGCAAAAAGGCATCTAATTGAGCTCCAAAGGTATTCATTCGATAGAGCTCGTCGAGTTCTACTTGGAACGTTTGTTCATCTGCTTTGAAAGTACTGCTGGACCAATCCTGATAGGTTTTTCGACAGAAATATAGGAATCTGGACCCAGAAATGGCTATTTGAGGGAGAAACAAGCATTCAATCGAGCTCCAAATGTGTCCATTCGATAGAGCTTGTCGAGGTCTACTTGGAAAGTTGGTTGATATAGTTGGAAAGTACTCCTGAGCGAAACATGGCCAGTCTCTTTGTAGAAATCTAGAAATTGGGCTCCTAGAATGGCTGTTTTCGAGGGAAAGAAGCATCCAATCGAGCTGCAAAGGTATCCATTCGATAGAGCTCGTAGAGATCTACTCGGAAAGTTGGTTGAAATACTTGGAAAGTACTCCTGGACGAATTGTCACAGGTTTTTCAATCAAATCTAGGAATCGGGACCCGGAAATGACCATTTTAGGGAGAAAGAAGCATCGAATCGTGCTCCAAAGGTGTCCATTCGATAGAGCTCACCGAGATCTACTCGGAAAGTTGGTTGAAATACTTGGAAAGTACTCCTGAACGAATTGTTACCGGTTTTTCAGTCGAAATCTAGGGATCGGGACCCAGAAATGACCATTTCAGGAGGAAAGAAGCATCCTATCGAGCTCCAAAGGTGTCCATTTGATAGAGCTCGTCGAGATCTACTTGGAAAGTTGGTTCATGTACTTGGAAAGTACTCCTGGGCGAATCCTTAGAAGTTTTTCGATAGAAATCAAGGAATCGGGACCCAAAAATGGCCATTTTCGGAGGAAAGAAGCATCCTATCGAGCTGCAAATGTGTTCATTCGATAGAGCTCGTCGAGATCGACTTGGAAAGTTGGTTGATATACTTGGAAAGTAAGTCTGAGCGAATCGTCAGAGGCCTTTCGGCAAATATATAGGAATGAGGCCCGGAAATGACCATTTCAGGGAGAAAGAAGCATCGAATCGAGCTCCAAAGGTGTCCATTCGATAGAGCTCGTCGAGATCTACTTGAAAAGTTGGTTTATATACTTGGAAAGTGCTTCTGAGCGAATTGTGACAGCCGTTTCTGTACATATATAGGAATGAGGCCCGGAAGTGGCGATTTTGGGGGGAAAGACGCACCGTATTTAATTCCAAAGGTGTTCGTTGGATAGAGCACGTCAAGATCTATCTGGAAACTTACTGGTTTAGTTGGAAAGCACTCAGGGGCAAATCGCGACAAGTTTTTCGGGAATTGTTGCATTTTATACGTTTTTTGATGGTATTTATGGATTTTCTGGGTTTGAGGGGGGGGGGGCTAGGAAAAAATTAATGGTGTGGTTGGATAGAGCTCGTTGAGTTCTACTTGGAAAGTTGTTGAACTGCTTTGGAAAGTGTTTTGGAGCGAATCGTTTCAAGAAATACTCGAATCCAGACCTAAGATATCCTACGTGTGATTTTTAGGGTTTCTTGAATACTCATGTGAACTGGAGTTTCTTGAAATCTGATGAAGTCTCGAAAGCCTGCTGAAATTTCATCAAGTCTGTTCAAGTCTTTTGAAACTTTTCGAAGTCTTTCGAAGCCTCCAGAAAATTTGAGGTCTCTGTCACTGAAGTCTTGACGTCTGCTCTTTTCTATTTGGTTTTCGATTCTGTTTTGTTCATATTTTCTTTTGAAACAAAAATGACAGCAGAAGTTAAGTTCACTTTTCCATCAGAACATACATTGAATACTACATTTCATGTAATTTCATGTAAAAAGATAAACAAAAGAAAAAGAATTTCATTTGAATAATCTGTTTCTTTTCAAAACAAGTGAAAGAATAATCAAAATGAATCAATCACTAAAACTTCTTTCATATAATGTTTATCGATATTTGACATCCGTTACTTGAATATGAGCAAATCCTAATTGAGATAGTTCAAACAAATTTGATATTATTATCATTGTTTTTATCTATTCTCAAGTTGTTTTATATGATGCTGATTTCAGTTGTGGAAAGTTCATTGATACGAAATCAGATGATTCTATTTATTGAAATCAATGTTTTTGAGCGTCTCCAATGCCTTAATCATACATAGTTCATTTGCAGAAGTATGAAAATCTTGTTCAAATCTTTTACTTTAAATCTTTAGTTGAGGATTTATAAAATTCATTATAAAAAAGTTAATCAATTATATACAATAAAACGTTTATTAACAAAAAATTTCATGTGAAATTTGATCACCATACAATTTCTAAAATCTAAAATAAATCTAAATCATTGAAATAGAATTTTACTGATGGAATAATAGAAATTTCTTTTCATGAAATATTTGCAATACATTCAAATATTTATTCTTAAAATAATACATCCATGAGGAAAATATAAACATTCATATATTAAAAGTGAATTGTTTCATCAAAAGTCCATTTTCTGTTATATGAAATATTCTGTTCTATTTAGAAATATTAGAAAAAATATGAAGAAAAAAATGAATCGAAAGTTCATTAGATATGATATGAACAGATTGAAAATTGTTCATATGATATATTAAAGAAAGAAAAAAAAAAGAGAGATAACAATATTTGTTTAGTCATTGACGAGTTCGACTATGGAAAAATGTCTTATTATTCTTTTCATTATTGATGACATCGGTCAAATCGAATAAATGAACATAGATATATAAATATTGATTGTTGAGAGATAGAATGAATAGAATTATTAAGCATAAGAATGAATGGATCATGTGTTCAATTGAATGATTTACCTGATGAACTTCTTATGTTTATTTTCAAACAAATGAACAATGTTGAAGTTCTTTATTCTTTATTCGGTGTCAATGAACGATTGAATTCAATTCTACAAGATCCAATTTTTACAAATCGTTTGAATTTTTTGAAATGGTCTTCAAAGAAATTTCTCAATATATTTTCTCCTGATATTATATTTGATCGATTTTGTTTACAAATTTTACCAGCAATTCATGAGAAAATTCAATGGCTTGATGTTGAATCATCATCTATGAAACAAATTCTATGTGCTGCTAATTATTCTAATTTATATGGACTGGGTCTATTCAATATCGAAGAAGAAACAATTAAAAATCTTTTCACTGGTAAGAGAATCTCAAGATAGAATTGTTATTGGAAGAAATAAATGAACGATTGATTAAAATTAATATAATTATTATTTGTTAACATTATTATTTCTATATTTAGATGTAAATCTTTCATCTGATCTTTTTAAAAATCAAATTACCAGACTTCTAATTACAGTTGATACTAATCAGAATCTGAAGCATTATTTAACAATGAAATATATATGCAATCATATATTTGATGTGTTTAAAAAGTTAACTCATTTAATATTTTCTCAATCATCATATCAAAATATGGTTGGATTACCATTTATTTATCCACCGATCAATTTTTGTTCTTCAACTCTTTTGGTATTGAATGTTAAGATTAATCATTTTGAGACATGTTTATGTTTTCTCGATGGTCGTTTAAATAAACTTCACACACTCATTGTGGAATCAGCTGACATTTGCTCATTAGGAGAAATTGAAAATAAAGTTTGTTTTTGTTAGTAGAAAATAAATTGAATCTACTTTTATTTTTCATTTCTAGGGAGATGTACCAAGTCTAATGTGTTTTTCCTTATCTTGTGTTGGGCCAATAGACTATTACGATAAATTGATTCTTCCATTGCTATATCGAATGTCAAATTTAGAAAAACTTAATCTATCTCTTTCAATTTCAGTTGAAGAAACATTGATTGATGGATATCATTTAAAAAATAAAATTCTTAATCCTATGTCACGATTAAATCAATTTACATTTGATATTCATTCGATGATGAATATTAATAATGAAATAATTTTACCATCAAAAGAAGATATTCAAAACACATTCAAAGATTTTCAATATACACAAATAATATCTTATATGAATCATTTTCTAGAAAGAAAGGAATGCCAATGTCATATTTATACATATCCATCTCAAATATCATATTATCAATATATATCAAATCAATTTCCAGGTGGATATTATCCATATGTTCGTATTGTATCATTATATGATGAATATCCTTTTGAACATGAATTTTTTCTTCAATTAGTTCAATCTTTCCCATTTATAGAAAAATTAGTGTTAATTAATCGCAAATCACAACAACACCAACAATCTTATAAATCAATGAATAACAGTTGTCATTTATCAATCGTTGAATATTCTCGTCTTATTGAACTTGACATTGAATATGCTTGTGATGATTATATTGAAGAATTTCTATGTGATACAAAAACATGTTTTCGAAAGAATATTTCTCTTCGTATTCTTGATCACTCTTTATTAAGAGTAACAGAAAATTTTACAAGAGAAGATACTCGAATGAATTGTACCAAAGTAGAAAATTTATGGCCGTGTGGTGAATGGAGATCTTCGAAATCTTTTCAAGAATATTTTCCTTTGATAAAAGAAAGTGATTATATTTATTCTTCTTTTTATGTAAAATAAATGAATATCCTATTGTAAAACAAACAGTTTATTTGTTGAATGAAAGAGAAAGAAAGAAAAGTTGACTTGTATACGACTATTAGGAATCAATCTCTATTGACAAATGCGGATGTTGTATACAAGAGGATGAAATGTATTAAAAAAAAGATTTATTTTATTCAATAAAAATATCAATGTAATTTAAGATATTAATATTGATCAGTGAATCGCAGGTGAATACTAAGGATGTTTTCATCTTATTTATACTTCATTTTCTTAAAGAGGATTGAGATATTTCCCAACAAGTAGTAGCCATCAGAAATATTTTTTACAAACCTTTTTTTTTTATCAACTTGATTAATTTAATAGTTTGCTCAATTCAATCATAGTTTTTACTCCTACACGAAACTAAATTAAATCTTACTTTTTCCTTTTGCCATAACA